AGCATACAACAGCCAAAGCCTTGTAACAAATATGGCTGCAAATATGAGGGCAATAGTCTGAATAATGTAAATAGTGTACATATTACCTCATCTCAGATACATAGACAGATACTGAAAGGCTGAAATGTTGTAATAAATATGGCAAAAAAGATAAGGACAATAGTCCGAATAATGTAAATAGTGTACATAATACCTCATCTCAGAAATATAGACAGATGCTGAAGGGTGATAAATATGGAAGCAAAGATGAGGACAATAGTTCAAATAATGTAAATAGTGCACATAATACCTCATCTAAGAAATATAGACAGAAAACAAATTTTGTTTGAATTTTTGTGGTGGGGCTTTCTTACTATTGCATATTGTTTGTTTTGGACCAGTTTCCTTGAACCCCTGAATAAAGAGTTTGATCCTCACTGGGTACTGCAGAGAAAATTCAACAATAAATAACTGAACAAAGGTTACTTGCTATACTGTAAAATCAACCCACCTAACTTGATGTGGGGTTATGGTTGAAAGTGCTAGTCTGGAGGGCAATTGCTACTGAATAACAAGTTCCGTCCTCAATTGGTGCCCCATACAAAATTTCCCAAGGTTGACATCTAAAATCAGCCAACCTAACACAGTGTGTAGTAATGATTAGTGAGACTAGTCTAGTTGATTATAACTGCCAATTAGTAGGTCTGATCCTCCCTTGGTGTCTCCTACAAAAAGTTAATATTACCGGAATCAACAAGGATTGACATGTAAAACTGTCATTGTCTTCCTCAGATTATTTTGGATGGGGTAGCACCTTCATTCTTTCACAGATGTTTGTTGTATTTAGATTCTTTATCAAACAATAATTTATTTAATCCCCATAAATATGCAGTTCCCACATTATCACTTTCCTTGGAGATTTTAGAACTTGTAACTGTCAATTCCTCTACACACACACAAACACATACATACATGCACTCACGCACACAGAGGGTGCAATGGATAAATTGTCATTTAAATTGTGTGAAAATGAAACTGTCATCTCATTTTAAAAGATATATTTATCAAAATTACACTAAAATATCTTCAAATAAGAGTAAATTTATTCAGTAAAATTGCCATTGGTTTCAACCACGGCATCCAGACAACTTTGAAATCTCCTTCAACACTTCTGGATGGTGGTCTTGTTTAAGTTGGTGAATGCTGCCATAATCCTTGGTTTCAGTTCATCTTTGCTATTACAAGGAGTTTTGTTGGTCTCTCGCTCAACTGCACCCCACACATAATAATCAACGATTTGAAGTCTGGGGAGTTAGGTGGTTAGATTTAAGGGGTGATGTGGTCATAGAAATTGTCTGACAACAATGACTTGGTTCTTCTGCTTGTGTGGCATGGTGCCGAGTCCTCTTCCCAGATTTAGGGTCTTCCAGCAACCACCCTCTTGACACAGAGCAGCACTACCTCTTCAAGGCACTTGATGTAGGCCTCTGAATCCCTGTGGGAAAATGAATTGAGGCATAATGTCACCTTCATTTGTGATCACTCCAAACATCATAATGTTGACTGGCTTTGTCATTCAACTCTTTTTGAATCCTCTACACTCTTTTCAGACTGCAACCCAAATACCCCCCCCCAACCGAAATGGCCTTCATTGATTTTTGACTTCTAATTATTCTTGGGAATCTCAACTGTCTTTCTTGGTGTGTGTAGTATTGTATGTAAATGAGATACTGCTATAAAAGCAGAATGCCATAGTGAATGCCAGTCAATCTACCCTGTGTTGACCTGACAAAGTCTATTCCAGAAAGTACTCTACTTCATAACAATATGGCATCACCACAATGGATGAACCAAAGCATGTACAAATGTGGATTAGATGTTAGCCACGTAGGCTAGGGTAAAGAAACTGAAAGACAAGAAAGCCTCCAGAGGGGAGAATGAAATTAGTGATTTATTTTGGGCTTTGGCAGGATGTGAAACCATAAAGAAAATATCCATTATGGTGTAAACCAAAGTACTGGGAGACTTAACATATGTGGAAATTTCAACCATTATAAAAAGAAACATTCAACAACAAAAAAAAAGCTGGTTATTGCAGAGAGAACAAAATTTCTGGAAAATAGAACCCAAATGAAACCATATTTATATAGATTGAAAGAAGCATCAAGATATTGCGAATATGAAAAACTGGATTTGAGAGAAATATCTATAGAACATGAATTGATCCTTCCAAAATTAATTGAAGACATGTATGATGTTACATACAAACAAAATGGCTACAAGAAAATGAAATGAATTTAGAAGCAAGTGTAGAATTTTTTTTTTTAAAATGGCTGAGACCAGAGTTTTAATAACAATGATTTTGGCAGCATTCCCCAACTTAAACAAGGAGACTGTCCAGAAGAGATGCAGGAGATTCTGAATCCGTCTGTAGGCTGTGGTTGAAGCCAGTAGCGATTTTATTGTATAAGTTTACTCTTTTCTATTTCAAGATATTTTTTGAGTAATTTTGGTAAATATACCTGTTAAAATGAGATGTCAGTGTTATTTTCATTTTTGTGTAATTTAGATGAAAATTTATCCATTGCTCCCTGGATATATATATATATATATATATATATATATATTTTTTTTAAGCATTACGCCCCAAGCAAGGCGTGAAGCCACTAGGATGAAAGGGGTTGCGGAAGATTTGAAGCGAGAGCAGATAGGAGTTATAGGAGAAGGATAGTGGGTAGATCAAGGTAAGTGGAGATGTCGATTGACATTACATTTGAATAGTTGGAGATTATAGCCTTCAGGGAAGCAGTAACTGGGGAGGGTGTTCCACTGGCGAGAGGTGCGAGGTATGAAGCTATTGGAGTAGAAGAGACGGCTACATTTGAGAGTTTCTACGGTGTAAGGGTGGGAGCGGGATGCCAGCCTCATAGGGCGCTTGAATTTATGGAGTCTGGGAACCAGTGAAAGCAGCTCGTCAGAGCAGTTACCATGGAAGTATTTGTAGAAAAGACAGAGAGAGGCGACGGCGCGTCTGTGAGAAAAAATATAAAAAAGTAAAGATATATGCAAAAGAATGAAAAAGCTTAAGAAAATGAATGGCCTTGAAATTTTATTTTAACCATTTCACACCAAGTAAGGCAATGATGCCATTATGACGCAGGGGTTTAGAGGGAGTGAAGGAGTAAAAGTTGACTTTCATGAGGGGAAGTAAGAGAAAAGACAATAAAGGACAAGAGGAAGACAAAAGAGGGAAATTGATGTTGCATTTGATTTTTTTAACATTGTTCTTGGCAGGGAAGCAAGAAATTGGAAAGGAGTTCTACAGGCAAGAAATGTGAGAAAAGAAACTGTTGAGAAATTGAAAAGAAGTGACAGTTGGCAGAAAATGTTTTATTCTTCAGAATGACAATTTCAACCAACACTTTGATAAATTAAACTCCAGGGAAGATCAAATCATTAGGTTGGGACAATTTACTTCTGCCTCTGCATTCAATAGATTTAACAGCTTCAAATCAATGAGACACTTGCCCAGTAGCAAAACCCTCAAGAGTAGAGAAGAGAGATCAATTCACCTGCCAATTCATTTTATGCAGAATCCTACAATTTTTTTTTTTAAAGCATTTCACCCCAAGCAAGGCAGGAAGCCACTAGCATGCAAGGGGTTACAGAGAGTTGGAGCCAGAGCAAATATGAGCGATAGAGAAAAGGATGAAGAAAAGGATAGGGGATAGATCAAGGCATCTGGAGACGTCGATTGACATTACATTTGAATAGTTGGAGATTATAGCTATCAGGGAAATAGGAAAAGGGGAGGGAGTTCTACAGGCGAGAGGTGCGAGACATGAAGCTATTGGAGTAGAAGAGACAGCTACATTTAACAGTTTCGACAGTGAAAGGGTAAGAGCGAGATGTCAGCCTAGTAGAACACTTAAATTCATGAAGTCTGGGAACCAGCGAAAGCAGCTCATCGGAGCAGTTAATGTGAAAGTATTTGTAAAAAAGACAGAGAGAGACGACGACACGTCTGTGAGAGGTCGACTGCAGACAAGATGCTAGATCAGGGCCAGTTGCACTGCATATTCATCTCTGGATTTTAATGCAGAATCCTTTCAACAAAGAATGAAATTATTCTTGTTACATTTCAATTCTTCCCCGAAAAATGTAATATTACTTTTCAAACAAAGTCCTATTTGCATTCTATTAAGGCAGAGCCAGTGCATATTATCACCAACCCTGACCCCAAACCAGAGTAGGGCCAAGCCTGATTGAGAGCCCATGGGCAGTGCTTTGTGACCCTATCTTATTAACATTTTGCTTTTTTTACCTACATTTATATATGTCAAAAATTAGACTAAGCACAAAAAATTTTGTAGATTTTGGCATCATTTGGTGGGGGTCTATATTTTTTCATCCAAATCCATGAATTTGTTTTGCTCATGCTAAGTCTTGAAAAACACTATTTATATTCATAATGTTGAATGTTAAAATTCTTCAACATTTTAACAAGAATAATGTCAAAAATTTAAAGAAGTCACTGCAATTAACACCCCAATAAACTTACTAAGATGGACTTGTCTTCCATTTTGAGTTATGACTTCAAAAATTGCTGCAAAAAATTGATTTATTTGAGATGGAATGATCTATTATTATATGTCTCTAATTTGTATTTAGATACATTGTATTTTTATTTAAAATTTTTCTACTTGAATTGTTCACCTATATTGCATACAATCCATTATTGTACATTATTAGGTTATAATAAAAATTGTATTTTATATGAATACTACCTTATGAAAATTGAGATATAGTTGAGTTGGGGTAGGGTTGCATATCATACTCTCTCTTGCAATGGCCATGCATTTAGGGTTAATACATTTGGATTTTATTGTTTTTTTATACATGAGAGAATCCAATTGTCTTACCAAAGAAGTAGTTCCAAGTGCAAGAGGATATTTAAAATTAGGATTACTATTCTTTTTCTATCTTATTCTATTCATATCTTATTCTGTCAGCGGCTATTGATGTTCCTTTTATGTAGATTCTTTCAACAAGGAAGTACTTTCAACTGGTAGAAACTATAATATGATGACATTTACAAAGGTAGACAAACTATAAGATTTAAACTGAAATATTTAATTTTGTTATAAGAAAATAAAAAAAATATGTGGGAAATTCGGGACTAATTAGTTAAATAAATAAAAACAGAAAATAATTACCAGAAGTTATATTTTTCTATCTATCTTGGTCAGTCCCAATCTCTCTCTCTGTCTATCCCAGTCTATCCATATCTATCCATATTGTTTTGTCCATATCTCACTCTCTCTATCATGGTTTTCCATATATCTCTCTCTATCTCGGTCTGTCTCTCTCTCTCTCTATCTATCTTGGTCTGCCTCTACCTATCTATCTATCTATCTATCTCGGTCTGTCTCTACCTATCTATCTATCTATCTCGGTCTGTCTCTATCTATCTGTCTATCTCGGACTGTCTCTACTTATCTATCTGTCTATCTATCTATCTATCTCGGTCTGTCTCTACCTATCTATCTATCTCGGTCTGTCTCTATCTATCTGTCTATCTATCTATCTATCTCGGTCTGTCTCTACCTATCTGTCTATCTCGGTCTGTCTCTACCTATCTGTCTATATCGGTCTGTCTCTATCTATCTGTCTATCTATCTATCTATCTCGGTCTGTCTCTACCTATATATCTATCTCGGTCTGTCTCTATCTATCTGTCTATCTCGGTCTGTCTCTATCTATCTGTCTATCTATCTCGGTCTGTCACTACCTATCTGTCTATCTATCTATCTATCTCTCTATCTATCTATCTATCTTGGTCTGTCTCTACCTATCTATCTATCTATCTTGGTCTGTCTCTACCTATCTATCTATCTCGGTCTGTCTCTATCTATCTATCTATCTATCTATCTATCTCAGTCTGTCTCTATCTATCTATCTATCTATCTCGGTCAGTCTCTATCAATCTATCTATTTCAGTCTGTCTCTATCTATCTATCTATCTATCTATCTATCTATCTCTCTATCTGTCTGTCTCAGTCTGTCTCTATCTCAGTCTATCTGTCTATCACAGTCTGTCTCTTTCTATCTACCTATCTATCTATCTCGGTCTGTCTCTATCTATCTAACTATCTATCTCGGTCTGTCACTACCTATCTATCTATCTAGGACTGTCTATATCTATCTCTCTATCTATCTTGGTCTGTCTCTATCTATCTATCTATCTCAGTCTGCCTCTATCTATCTATCTATCTATCTATCACAGTCTATCTGTCTATCTACCACAGTCTGTCTCTATCTATCTATCTATCTATCTATCACAGTCTGTCTCTATCTATCTGTCTATCTATCTATCTATCTCGGTCTGTCTCTATCTATCTATCTCGGTCTGTCTCTACATATCTATCTATCCATCTATCTATCTCGGACTGTCTCTATCTATCTATCCATCTATCTTGGTCTGACTATCTATCTATCTATCTATCTCAGTCTCTATCTATCTATCTATATCAGTCTCTATCGATCTATCTCTCTCAGTCTCTATCGATCTATCTATCTATCGGTCTGTCTCTACCTATCTATCTATCTATCTCTCTCCGTCTGTCTCTACCTATCTATCTATCTCTCTCGGTCTGTCTCTATCTATCTCTCTCTCTCGGTCTGTCTCTATCTATCTCTCTCGGTCTGTCTCTATCTATCTATCTATCTGTCCTTATCTCTTTATATTGGCCTGTCCCTATCTGTCTGTCTATCAATCTTGGTCTGTCCTTATCTGTCTATCTACCTATTTCGGTCTCTATCTATCTCCCTATCTAAGTCTGTCCATATGTATCTCAGACTAATAACCCCATCTTTCTTAATATCTTCACAAAATTTCATCCATTGTGCCCTCTGACCTCCTACTAATAACCTTTTGATCTGAAGCTTTTATTCAATCTATTGTTTGGTAATGGCCTATCTTAGTTCATTGTCCTTTTTGTACTACTCAGTTATTACTTGTTTTATTATTTCCACTGAGTCTGAAAAGTTATCATTATTTACAGACGGATTTATGGACTCATCTTTGTTGTTGTTGTTATGATAATGTTTTGGCAATTTTACCTTCTCACCTTCTTCAGCTATCAATCCAGTTAATCTTCAGGTAATTTCAAACGTAATCTTTTATTCAATCTACCCAGGTTGTTCTCTTTCTACTGACCATGTCTAGGGATTTTCTCATCTTACTAAATTGACTATTTTAGTATTGTTCAGTTCTTGTTAGTCCTGATTCTGAGTATATTCATACTATCAGGCTCAGGGATTGAACTCACAATTACTCAACCACTAACCAATGTTTTAACTCTCTAAGTCATTGTCTTAATGTAATGATATCTTCCCATTCGAAAAATTTAGACAAAAAACATCTCCCTCAAGTTAGTGTCTTCTCTTCTAAATGTTGATTTGTTTAAAAAGTGGGTTTCTTTCTCTGTAATAAAGAGACTATCATTCTTGAGATTTTGACGTCAGTCATCTGAAGTGATAAAGATAATTGGGATGATTTTGACATGCTCGACTGGATAAGCCATCTTGCAATGAGAATTTTTCATTAGAATCAGAAAGAGACATTTGAAAATTCTGGTACACATAATGAGGAAAGAGGGTTTGTAGAATTTGACACTCAAAGGACATTGAAAGTAAGAGGGACAGAGGGAAACACAAGTAACTGTAAGTGTAAGCGTTCTCAAAGCAAATTTGTCGCAGATTACTTTCACAACAACACAAAGAAAAATCACTAAGTACAGACTCGAGTATCGGGGACAGAAAGAAATGCTGAAAACTCTGTTCATCGGTACTATCTTAAATCACAATGCGTGTAACCAGTCAGTAAAATAACTCACTCTCCAACAAACGCCGTAGCCAAAAATGCCCGAATTTTCCTTCCTCCGAATCGAGAACACCAACTGCGTTTATCAGCAGAACCTATTTTTTTCATTCGTCGACAGCTGGGATAGGATGCTCTGTAATTTGCATATCAAAATACTCTTATAGCGACTCCTGCGACAGACTTGTTTCTTTCTTCCATCACAGAATACACGCAATGCGCTGTCGCTTGGGTTGACGAGGTAAGTCGCCGTTTTCTTTGCTATAAGATTTTTGCTGACTACTTTTTGGTAATCCTTCTTCGGCAGATCGCACACAAAACACAAACTTTTTTTCCGAGGTACCTGATTATCTCTTTCACTACAGTAACCTACATAACAAACCTGTATAAATGGTCGGCAGAACAGAGACTGGGAGGGCTGGTGAAAAGAAAACTTATTAAGAGCTACAAAGATAGGAAGTTGTGGAGAGTCACGATCGCCCATGTCCTGCAAAAAAGAATCTTGTCATACCAACATACATTTCTGATGGCCAACGATATTCATTTAAACATTTGCAATATCATAAAAATGATATATAAGGTAAGTATAGTTATTTCAAAGCATTTCACTTATGTATTTAGTACAAGCAGGTTGCCAGTTTTCTGGCAGATTTAATCCAGATGAAATTAAAAGCAGACTGTAAATCTGTCGGCCAACTGGAAGACAGCTAAATTCTTTATATTCTCGACAAATTTTCAGCTAATTTAAGAGTAGAACAATTGGTTAAGTCTACTAACAACCAGACTTCACATGCAACTCCATGACCAATGCATACTATAAAGTGTGTATATATATATATATAGTAAATTCTGGTAAGCTTATCAAGATATTTATCAAAGAATTTAATGTGAGAAATGTTTATTTAATTTAGATATCTAAGAATCTGAATGCACTCAAGGCACGAGAAGTGAATGATTAACAGGTCTGAGATGTATTATTGAATTATTATCATGTCACCTCTTTTGGTCTGGTGAAATGGATAATCAATATGATTGGGCAACCAAGGGTGCTAACTCATTTGTTGATTAATTTTTTAATGGCATAGTGACTCCCTATGGGTCATTTAATGCTAAAATTTAATTTTCTTTGGAGCTTTGAAGTAATAAAAATTTCATACACTTAATTCTGTTTTCATAGTTGAATACTTAGTAGATGATACTCAGCTTTTGGCTATACACATGTTTGTGTGGACATAATTACTTGAAGCAGTGATATGTGTCTTTTATGTTGTAGATTTGTTTATGTTATATTTTAGAATACAGTTTGATTAAGAAATTGTAGGATAAAATATGGATTAGTGCTATGAAAGAGTTCTTTTATGTTGGGTGTTTGATTTTGCTTAGTGGCATATCAACACCTCTATGGGTTATTTAATACTGGAATCTAAATATTTTGAATATAGTTTTATAGCTTCAACTACAGATAAAATATATTGTTGAATAATAAATGCTAGATATTTATAACTAAATATATTGTTGAATAATAAATGCTAGACATTTATAACTAAATATATTGTTGAATAATAAATGCTAGACATTTATAGCAAAATGCTATAAATATGTAGTGTTTGTTATTTTTTATTTCTATAAAAATGTATTTTTATATTTTCATAGTCTTTGGGGGTTCACTATTTTCCCATAGGTGGGGGCCTAACAGGTGCTACCACCCCAGGTCAGGGTAGACCTGTGAACAACAGCAGTTAAGAGGTGGTTCCATGGTTTTCAAAACCTGCAATTTCCTAATCAGAGGCCTTGCTGCCAGATGTAGTTTATCATCATACACCAAGGGTGCTGGGAAATGTGTGTTGTGACATTAGCAACATGTGATATGTTCATGTGCATTTTTTTAATATATATTTGAAGTTTGGGCTCTTAATTTATAATTGGTTTTTACTCATTGATGGTTGTTTTTATTGTATGAGTATTGTTTCATTGATAATAAGTCTATTTTTTACTATTTGATTGGCATTGTTTCTCTGCAGCTATGTAATGTTCCTATGTTCCTTATGCTGATGGCACTTTGGTCCAATAGGTGGCAGGTGAGTCTCTGTGAGAATATGGTTATGGTATCTCCTAAGTAAGTCATTTTATGTTTTTTTTTTATTTACAAAGAAAACCAGTTTTATGAAACTTACCATTTGTCTATCTACCCTAATGATGACTTCCCAGGACATTTCTTCCCAGGATGAACTTTGGACAATTTCTAATAGAATTTTTTCCTTATCAGAGCAGGATTATTTGTAATTTGGAAAAAGTCAATCAATAAAATTAATTGACACAAAATGTCTGCTGTTTTTAATAACATTTACCTTAAAGGAAATAAGTGTATAGCTCTTTCTACTAAAGCAGAAAGATTTTGTTTTTTTACCATTCCTCACTTTTTTTCTCTTCACTCTTTATAATATTAAACTGTGTTTTAATCATGGTTCCACGTCTCTTCTTAGTTTGTCTACATCTCACGATTATCATTATATTACACTGTTCGTCAATGGTTCTTCTGATGAGGTATTGGCTGAAAAATGTTTACCTTTTTAAGCAAAATTATACAGTCTTACTTGTTTAACATATAAAATGTAAAATTAACAAAGAATAAAAAATAAAACCAGTTTTATTATTATTCCTCATTTATCTTACGTTTTATAGGATCTACTTTATGTTGAGCTCTTATAATTACAGACTTTATCAAAGTTAGAATTTTACAATTACAACTGCATTTTGTTTATATATATATATGTATAATTAAATAAATTAGACATTATGTCTGTAAATTTTTAACAAAATCTGTTCATACTCATAAATAACCATCTGTGTATCGATATTAAAGGATGAGAGAAATGTGCTATAGCCATTTAAATTTCTTTTATTTTCATTTCCCAAGTACTTTCGATCTTCTTCCAAGATCATCTTCAGGGTTATATGTATATGTTGTTCATTAGTACAAGTATTTATACAAAGTTGTGCATTGTTATCCATTACCATAATTTTTTCATTATACTTTTAAATGCAAAATGGTTGACAATGTACTGAGTGTTCATTAGAATGTGAAAAAATTATCCATTATGGAATTTTTCATGTTATAATAACATGGTCATGCGTGCATTAAAATGTGAAAAAAACTGTTCCTTTATAGGCATTTCAGAACATTCATAGTTGATTCTGTTCAGTGCCAGCTTTAATTTTTTAATATAAATTGCTTCTAGTATCTGTAATGTTACGTTAATAGATAACAATGCACAAATTTGTATAAATACTTGTACTAATGAGCAACATATAGTTTTGTACTACTTGCACCCCTGAAGATGATCTTGAAAGAAGATCGATGAAAATAAAAGAAATTTAAACAGCTATAGCACATTTCTCTCATCCTTTAACATCAATACCCGATAGGTTATTCATGAGTATAAAAGTAATTTGTTAAAAATTTGAAGACATAATGTCTGTAATTTATTTAATCAGACATACCTAAGAGAATTTGCAGCCTATATATATATATATATATATATATATATATATATATCAATTATCTATATCAGACATAAAACCACCTCCTTGAGTAGATACCTCATGTGTCATCTGATCAAAGTAATATAAAAAAAAATATCTAGCTATCATCAATTTACAAGAACCCTTGAGGAAAATTCTGGTTGAAAACACTAAAGTTCTATATAAATCACCTTACAGGAAGCATTTTGTTGTGAGAAAGGGCCTGAATATAAAACATCTCACTCCCACTATCAACCTCACCTTATTCAACAGTAGGAATAGTGCGTTGAAAGTTATTTTTAAAAAAAATTAGAAAGGTACACACTTAAATGCCAGGCATGCAAAGCTCAGAATAAACACTCCTACTAACATTCAAAACAATAAAAAAAACACATAGTCAAACATGGAGAAATTAACAACACCCAAAAACAAA